TAGGAACAAAGGGCATCGCTACTAGGAGCAAGGACGCTACTAGTAGCTCCTGGCCTTACTAGTAACAAGAAGCTACTAGGAACAAAGGGCATCGCTACTAGGAGCAAGGACGCTACTAGTAGCTCCTGGCCTTACTAGTAACAAGAAGCTATTAGGAACAAAGTGCATCGCTACTAGGAACAAGGACTCTACTAGTAGCTCTTGGCCTTAACAGTAACAAGAAGCTATTAGGAACAAAGGGCATCGCTACTAGGAGCAAGGACTCTACTAGTAGCTTCTGGCCTTACTAGTAACAAGAAGCTACTAGGAGCAAAGGGCATCGCTACTAGGAGCACGGACGCTACTAGTAGCTCCTGGCCTTACTAGTAACAAGAAGCTATCAGGAGCAAAGGGCATCGCTACTAGGAGCACGGACGCTACTAGTAGCTCCTGGCCTTACTAGTTACAAGAAGCTACTAGGAACAAAGGGCATCGCTACCAGGAGCAAGGATGCTACTAGTAGCTCCTGGCCTTACTAGTAACAAGCAGCTCTACTAGTAGCGTGTCCAATTCGGTTCGATTACAACATTCGCCTCTCAAGCACGAGGGCATTTCTGAGGGAAAGGTCCTTGTGGACGTCCTTTTTGCACGTGTGCATTGTGATGCAATTGTGGAAGCTGAAAAACCCTGTGTCCAACCTGAAAGCAACAGCATCCCGCTCTCCTTTTTTCCAACTTCTTTGGAATTGTTGTAAATGCTATGTAGATGCATACTTTAGCATCACTCAAGAGACGGAGTCTCTTTTTTCCCTTGTATGTTCCAAGGTGTGGATTACTGGCGTCCTTGTGGTGTTTGTTTTAGAACCATTTGGGATCCAAAGTGACTATCTTCGACGCTTGGCTGCCTTGCGTGTTCTGCGCTTGGGACGACTTGCCAGAGCAGTTCGAACGCTGCCCATGTTCCACGAGCACCTTGGCAGCATGAACAACATTCATTTCTAAAGACATTGAGGACTGAGGAACAATTGTTTCACAGCTATTTAATATATTTGTTTTCTTCTTACAAGACCATTGTTTGCTGATTGGGGTTGGATTCTATGCGCAGGCCACCCGTGCAAGTGTGCCTTTTCGTGATCATTTATATAGTAAAAACAAGAAACCAGCAATTGAACGTTCCAAAGGCACAGTGACAAGAGGTGACAATTGGATATAGAGTCATAGAGATCAGTGTTTTTGTGAGGCTTTGGATGCTCGTGAGTGGCGTCCTGACTTGTACAAAGCTACTTTTCTGGTCGTTTGTGACTTGGGACGCAGAGGTGGCATTGAGTCTGGGAGATTGATGTACTGTAACATGATGTAACCAGATAGAATTTGAATTGGCCTTGTCTTGAATTGTAGACTCGTAGACACAGTAGACTATTTGTGATCATGAAGGAGCTATCATGCCTTTGCTTGCCTTCGAAGACTTGCCCGAGGTGATTATTTTCGTCGTGCATTTCATGTTTGCCGTGGTGGTGATGGAAACAATCACAACTGCCCCAGAGTTCGAAGAAGACGCAATTGTGCAGAATCTGTTCGGCTCGTTGTTCTATACAATGTTCACACTCTTCCAGTTCATGACCTTTGACAGCTGGGCTATTGTTGCCAGGCCCGTCTCTGCAAAGCGGGAGTCAAGCTTTCGGAAAAGCAGCAACATATTGTGTGAGACAGAGAAACTTTGGTTCACTCTGCTCGCCCCAATTCTCGCGTTGGCGAACCTTCGGCAGTGCTGCTTGATCTTGATTTCTTTTGTAATAACAACACAAACAAAAGTGAAGAGGGCAGAAGCGGGCTGCTGAAAACGGGGGGATGCACCTTCAAGGCCATGTTTCCCCGCCTTAGCAAAAGACAAGACGAGGAATGACCTTTCCCGCTTCAGACCCTGTGTGCGTAAAGGACATGATGGAGAACGATGCTTACGGAATTATCCCGCACAAATCCTTCTGTCACGACACAAGCTTCAACAAAGCCGGCTGCACGTCACGGCGTTGCCCTAAAGATGACCTGCAAATCAGTGGTTTAAACAGATTAAGTAGACAATAAGTAGACAACCCTTCTGCACTGCATTGTCAGAGTATGAGCGTATTGTCGAGGCTGGAGAGAGGATTCCTGACGAAGCAAAAGGTTGAAGTTGTGTTTCAGGGCTCAGTTTCAGTTGACGCGGAGCCCGACAGAAAGGGTATGGAAAGGTTTCGGTTTCATGATGATGAAGAGCTGTTTTTCGTTGATGCTTTTCTGCCAGTAAAGACATAATGGCGGAAAGCAGTCGCACGCCTGATATCAAAATCAGAGATATCAACCAAATGGATTGTTATTTAAACAAACTAATGCATGCGGACAAGCACATGCTTCGCATGCTTTTTGTCGAAACAGCGCGCGTGCTTGCAAGACTCGAAGCACACGTGGTCCTTAGTTCAACTAATGACACGCAAGCAAGTTCCTGTAATCTCTTGTATGTTTAACGTCATTGTGCAACCGATTGCGATATCATCTTACATTGCAATCACAACGAGCGTCTCATGTTTTTCACATGCAATCACAAAGAATTCGACGTCGGGTGAAACATTCTTCTTGGCCTGAACTCCTCGTCTTTCCTCCTTTGGTGGCCTTCTTCTAGCGAGTCATGAGCATGCAGAGCACGGAAAGAGTGACTCTTCGTCTGCCCCGCCTCTGAACTCAGCCGAAATAAATTAACAGCTATACTCACTCAGCAAATTCCGGTCCGCGCTCCGACTGCCATCCCCTTTCAGCAGCAACTTGAAAGCTGCGTAGATCTTCGTCAAGATCAGCCGGAAAGGAATCCTCACCAAGCCCACTAAGTCGCGCGTGAGCCACACGGCTAGATAGTCAGCCAACGCGTGGTTGAGAGAGGAAGGGTACTCTTTCAAGACTGCAGTGGCATAGGACTGCATCAAGGCATTTTTGTCCATTCGTAAAGGAGGTGGCATGGGGGAACACTGGTACTTGCAAGGTGCGCTTCCGGTTCCGTCATGGAGCCCAGCAAGAAGCGAGTTGGCTTGGGGCTACGACCTCCGCAGAGGCCTTGCCAAATAAAAACACGGCAATTACCTGGGAAACATTCAAGGATCCTAACTACAAAAAGCCTCCATATGGACGGCGTGTAGCTGGCACCTTCTTTTGGATGCTCGAGCGCCCAGAACTTGCCCTGAAGGGACAGGGAAAGGAACATCTGAAAGCAAAGGCACAAAAAAACATTACCAGCATGAAGCTGGCGACACTCCCTAGCAGTCACATGCGGTAGGCCATACGGCATTTCACCGCTCCTAAGCATGCGCGGGCCTCCATCACCTACAGCACACCATCTCCTGCAACTCCGCCAGCTTCCCTATGGACCAAGTTTCACAAGGCGGCCCAGCGTATGCACTTAGCACGTAGCCGTCACGTTTGTAGCGGAGTCATAAGGAACGTGTTTCAGCCCTGAAAAGGTTCACACGCTCACCATAAATGACATCGACGCTAAGCACAACCAAGGAACATGCCGCAGGGACTGCAAGAGCGCGAAGGTGTTTCTCAAGATCACCAGCGCGGCGTCAACCCGCAAAAAAATGCAATACCACCAGACAGCGAGTGCGGATTCTAGGAACCGAAGGACCACGCTTATTTAGCCACCCTTGTCCTTGCGTACGCAGGGCAAGATCCAGGGACGCACTTGGCAGCTGACACGATACTGAGGAGCATCAACGAGCCAGAGTGGCTCCGGCGACGGAGTTCTAGCAAGACATGCTGCCTCACCAGCTGCCAAGGGACATTGTCATTCCAGATTTCAAGAAAGCCCTCAAGGCCCTTGACCCAAAGGACGCAGGGCTCTGGCGGAAAACCTCTCACAGCCGACACAAGACTCTGCAGTGAGCACGCCGTCAATGAGCTCGTCAGTGTATCATTCCACTTGCAAGTCAACAACGGGCAGCGAGACTTGTTCCTCAAGGCATCTGGAGACCGGTTGCACAAAGCCACGTGGATCCTCCGTGTCCTCATCAGTCGAGTTTCGACCAGGGCCCAGGGCATCAACAAAACGTTTGGGCTGCCACAAAGTGACAGTGCATTGTTGGGAGTAGTTGAGATGAGACAGCAGACGTCGTCGCGTATGGTACTGCTTTGCACAGACCTCACAAACAGTGCCGCGCAACAGCCACCTCCTGTAGTTGACGACACCATGCTTGTGATAGCAATGAAGCGCTCTGCCTGCCTCACTTTTGAAGACTCTGTTGGAAGGAGCACAAAGTATCGTGTAGTCAAGCTGCACCGTGGGGTTGAGGGCGTTCCCATCTCTGAAAGTCAACCCATGCAAACAAGCTTCGTCAAGGTATTCTGTATGCCAAGAACACAGAAACTCAAAACGCTTGGTGTGTAGAGCCGCAAGTTGGCATCCGAAACGAACTCATTGCTTCCAAAGCTTTGTGTGTGTGACGAGCGACAAAGGACACCAATGGCTTCAAGGCATTGCCGCCTCCAGTGTTCTCCACGGTGTATCCAATACCAGAGCTCTGGCGGCCCATGAAGCACAACACCGCGAAAAAGGGTCAGGACAGCAGCATGACGCCAAACAGAGGGCTCCGGGAGCTCAAGTTCAGCGCAAATCTGCAAATCACTCATACCATTGATGTCAACAAAGGAAGAAGTGGGGCGAAGCAAGGACCTGTATAACTGCATATGAGAGCTTTATGCCAGAAATGAGGATCCCGCTCAGACAGTGCACACCACGTGCCCAAGTTGTACTGAGCGATGGACAAGTGACCGGAACAAGAGCACCCTTCGACAGAGCGAAAGTCGCTTGTTGTGGAAGACGCTTCGACGATAACGATGATAAGCTGTCTTCATTTGGTTCACACGACCACGCACTTCCATGGTCCACGAAAACTCACAATGCTACCCAGGTGTTTGTAGTGAGCAACAACTCGAACACGTGGCCCTTCAACAGAGTCCCGCGTGACCAACTGCAGGACACTGTCTTTTTTGTTCCATTGCGCCCTCAACTTCCGGGCTCCTTGCCATGAAAAGCAAGGATCACTTCAGTCTTTGATGGCACATAATTGATGGCCAAGCTGTGCTCTTCCAACACAGTGCAAATAGCACTGTAAGCCACATGGGCCTTGCCCGGTAAGGAATTCGCATCAGCATCACAAACAAAGGCTGCTAGGTCATCAGCCCAGGAGACCTGGCTGAAAGTAGGCACCGGCTCATCCTGCAGGATGCTCTTCAGTGGTGTTTTGTGGCAATGGTAGAAACGTGACTAGTGACCTAGAAGAGTGTCGAACATTGACCTTGCACAGAAAGTATCTAATTGCCTTTGAGGTGTGTTCAACTTTCTTCGATGCGGGCTGACTGGGAGTAGACTTGTCGATTCTGCATTGGTTGGTTACAGTAGTTCTTTGCTTACTTTTAATAGCAATGGCCTCCAACCTAATAGCGATGACCTCCAACCTATCAGCTTGGAATTTGCCTGCTCTTCCTGAAGGCCAATCATCTACAAGATGCCATTAGCTCTCCCGATATTCTTTCTGTTTTTGGGGATCGCTGGCATCGTGCTAGTGAATCTCATGACGGCTATCGTGGTGAAGAATGCATTTGAGGCCGCAGATGCCGATGAGGCTGTGGCCACGGAGAGTTTGCATGTTGTTTTGGCTAGGAACAAGTGCATGGCTACTAGTGACAAGGGCATTGCTACTAGTAGCCAATGCTTCTTGCTACTAGTAGTAATGCACTTGTTACTAGTAGTAATGGCTTGTTTTGGCACTGTTGTACTCTTTTCTGCAACCGATTCTGATGTTGGCCATTTCGAAGGAAGCCAAAGCGCAGCAACAAGTCCAGCAACAGGCCAAGATGGCTGCAGACTTGCGTGCCATGTTTGAAAAGTTGGATGAAGATGGCAGCGGTACGCTGACGCGTGAGGACTTGGTCTGTTTGCCCATGCAACCCAATTGTGTATTGCTTTGCACGTGCCTAACTGACTAGCTGGGTGTAGCTGCGCAACTTGCCCAGGAGTTCACTGATGTCTTGGATGATGTGCTTTTCATTCGGCAGATGAAGGCACGGGCTTAGTTGGTTAACTGCTTTGGAATATGTGCCCATAGTGATGACTGCAGGTCCTTGACATTGACTTGGAGGAGCTTCCAGATATTTTTGATATCCTAGATGATGGTGATGGAAACATCACCACGGAGGAGTACCCTGCCGTTAATGCCAACACTGGTAAAGTGGAAGACGAGAGCAGGGCAATGGAGCTGTGTCAGGAGAGTTTCCTTAGTTTACTCATGAAACATCATGAAAACATCATTATTCATAAGATTGACAAAGCGTCTTGCCCAGGTTCTGCTTGGGCCTAACACGCTTGCAGGGCGTGGCCATGAGCCGAGACATGTTGCGGTGCACCTCAAGGAATCGGCAATTAAACACACTTTTTGATGAAGTACGGACCTGCTGCTTGGTGGAATCGGAACAAACATGACAGCCAATGGTGATTCTGACGAACAGGTACCGATCACTAAAGCCAACGGAGACTAGTTTAGTTGAATGACATCCATACTACCAAATGGGGAACGCTTTGAGAGAACCTGCAACAAGATTGAACACGATCGCAGTGCCAGACAACTGAGACAAGTTGTCAAGAATCTTTTTGCAGGCATAAAACTGCAGGGATAAAGCCACGAATAGAATTTCGAAGACCATGCAGTATTACAGGAATTTCCACAGACTAGAGGGAGGCGTGGGGTTTTAACTTGTTGCTATGCATTTTTTTGCAGGCTTTTGCGGGCAAGGTCCGTGTATGAATCACTACAGTTTCTGAGTGTGATGTCTGTAGTGCACATGATGTGGAAGTTGGTTGTGGAGCAGTGATGAATATGTGCCGCTTTGTGCGGGTCCCATCCAACATATCATCATTTGGAGGATGTCCTATTTTGAAGAGTCTACTTTGCTATATAAGAGACCTTGTAAAGCCTTTATTTTTGCATAAAGTCTTCTTGCTCCAGAAAACACCTCCTTTTAGGACAAGCTTAATCTTGCAAAAGTCTTCATGTTTGCAGAACAACATTATTTCTCTTAATGCGGCATTTGAGACATCCTGTTACTATTGGGCTGAATCTTTTTTAAATACGGTGTTACCCCGCTAAATGCAATTTTGGCGTGGGGGGGCGGTTTTCAAGACATGCTTCAACCCAATTGTTTCTAAGAAAAGTCACCGGCTTGCCTTCAAGGAAAATATGTTTTCAATATGTTCAATATAATCATTTGGAGGATGTTGTTTTGAAGAGTTTACTCCTCTGGACAAATGTGAGTTTTTTCTTTTGGTAAAACCGCCACTTTTGCACAAGTTGTTTCTATTGTTTGCATAACAACAAGTTCATTTATTAAAAACATTTCACCCCCCCGCCAGGAAGGTCTCTTCTCTCACTGTTTTCAATTCTCTTGCACAATACGGTGCAGTGTTTCTACAGAAGACCTTTAGTCACGGCACGGCACTTTCACCTAAATGTCACCATACAGATGTGGTTAGAAGCATGAGCAGATGTGGTTCGTTTGGCATTTGATGTCTTTGTTGAACCACTGAAAATCTCAGGCCCGTGAGGCCTGGATGCGACTGCTAGAGACAAATACCCGGCTCTTAGGACCTCCTTAGATTTTGCAGCATATGAGCATGCAGACAAGGGACAATGCGTCAGGCCAGCTCAAACATATACTTTTCAGTTTTTAAAGCAATAGGTGAAGCTATTGCAAAGATTCCAACTGGCTAGTTGTAATATTTGATTGGCGGCTGAGATGCTTTTGGCAATTTGGTGAGCAGGGGCACCGGGTCAAAGGGGCAAGCAGCGGCAAGCATAATCACGTGAGTTGGAAAGCCAAACACTTGCAAAAGGGAGAGGGAGGGCATCGCTAATTACTAGGAGCTAGGAGAAAATTCATGGGACTGAGTTCACCTCCTGCAGCCATGCAGGAAAGGGTCGAATTCCTTTAAGCACACTTTTGGCTATCACAGATTTGCATCATACCGGTGATCATACCCGTGACTTTTGACTTGGCACTCAATATCTCTGACAAACATGCTCCCAGTGCACGATGCTTGACATCAAGTTGTCAAGAAACCTGTCAGCTTTGCTGGGCCATGGCTATTAGGGTGGAGGCCATCGCTTCTGGCTTGACTCGACCTAATTCACAAGAATCACGTGGTCGACATTGCTACACATTCATGTTCGATAATTATGTCTGCGTGTTGCCATCTTGTTCGTAGTACTTAGCAGTCAGAGTGTTAAGTGCCAGAGCTTGTGTCCTAAAACCGTTTTTAGACACTTCCTTACAGACTCCTTTCTTGTTTCAAGGTTAAGTTTCGTCAAAGTTTAGGAACCAAATGAATAGTGCGTGAGCATGCGTGAGCTATCCTGCTGCGTACTAGTAAGGTACTAGCTGCTACTAGCTATCTCTCTTTAATTAAGTAGGTAGTCTCTGACAGTAATGCCATGTACTGCGAAACCGCTCAAGGCTGTATGGACCAAGCCTTCAGGTGGGTCGCCCTTTTGTCACAGGGTCTTCAGTCTAATTTTTGGGGGTTGGGGTGTCCACCTCATTGCCAGGCCTTTCCTCTTTCGAGCTTCCTTCTTGCTTTTCTGATTGGCTGGCTTCTTGGACTTTTGTCCCTCGCATCCTTTCTTGGACTTTTGCCTGTGTCAAGTGCTCACCTCCCTCAGGCCCCTCAGTCTGGGCACTCGCCTCTCTCGAGGCATACTTCCGACCGGCTTCAGCTCTACTTGCATGAGCGTGGTCTCCGAGGACGAGGAGGTCGTTGATCTGTCCTTGCAGCTCTCCTCCCTCAGGGTGTCAGTCAGTGGCCCCAGTTCTCTGGCTTTTGAGGCCCTTCGCCGTGTGTCTGAGTGGTTCCGTGGACTTCGAGGGGGCAACCCGCCCTCTTCAAACTCCAGCGACCACTTCACCGTGGTCACTACTCCCAGGCCTACTTCAGGTCCCAGTGCATCGCGGCCGACTACCACCAGGGCATCGATTGAGGCATCATTTCCGGAGGTCCCTGCTGGCCTTTTGCTCTCTGGCCGTCGTCTTTCTGGCAGTGAGCTCTCCGGTGAAGAGAGGATTCGACGAGCTTGGCGTGCAGGCTGTTGGGCAAGAGCGGTTCTATCCGGTCGAGTGGCAACTCCGTCCGCATCAGTTCAGCTCAACTTGCGCCCTCGCATCTACGTGGTCCTCCGGACCCCTCGCTTGGCTGCACCTGCGTGCTTCTCATCTTCAGGGTCGTTCTTTGGAGCTGTTGGCCGTGGGTTCCGTGAGCCGGACACAATCTCTCACTCCTTTCCTTCGGAGACGGAGGCACGTGTCTATTGTCAGGCAGCCGACGTCGCCTTCCCTGAGATTCAGCCGTGATGGCAGACGTGGAAGAGGACGAGTTCCAGGGAGCAGGAGTTGGGTTGGATTTCAAAGACCTAGTTCCACTATCTGTCTCCCTCGTACCATATGTGGTTCTATGGCCTTCAGATCTTCAGCAAGGTGCCGATCTGGAGTCTTTGTTCCTTATTGTCATCAAGCGCGCTGGTGGGCTCATCGGCGCTCTTCCGCTGGGTGTGATTTCAGACAGAGAGATTGCATCCGGCTCTTCAGAGGCCAATCCCCATGCTTTATTGGGAGCTTCTACCACTATCATGGTGCCCGGAGTGTACCAGAATTCACAGGGAGTTTGGGAGCCTTCAGAGTCCGAAGTGGCCTTGTTGGTGGCAGACTTCACTGCAGACGTTGCACAACTTTTGAGGCCTATGACCGAAGACGATACCGAGTCCTTTCCCTTTGTGACGGACCACATCGAGATCTTCCCGGAGCCCAGTCACGTCGTGTCCCAGGTGATGGAATGGCTTGCAACTCAGGGCTTGTCAGTCCCGGAGGGGCCCTATCAAAGCGATGTTCAAGAGGTGACTGCCCAGAGCGGAGGGGCAACCCCTCCTGCAAAGTCAAGCACTCCTCGTCGTCAAGTTGGGCCAAAAGGGGCTACGAGTTCCGTAAAGCCCTCTCCAAAGCCAAAGAGAGTGACTACAGCTGCACTGGCCGAGTCCTTGGAGGGTGTCCTGTCTTCCTTACCTGCTCTGTCATCCCAGATCGAGACCCTGGTGGCAAAGCAGGAGGTCCTGGAGCGGCAGCTGGTCAGTTCATCTTCGGCGCCAAAGCAGTTGGCAAAACCGTTGACTTCATCCCTGGCTCTGTCAAAACCTCCTTCTCTGACTACGGCAGCATCCATGGTGAGGAGTCCTCCGAGGACCCAACAGCTTGTGCCTATGGCTCCGCCGTTGACACCAGCGCCTGCGGTCGCCCCTGTTTTACATCGGGAGCTGGAGGAGGAACTTCAAGCTGCAGGAGACGCCCCTTCAGTTGCACAGGCCATGCTGGCCCAGAGCGCTGCACTCACTCAGTTGGTGGCGCATATGGCAAGTCATGCGGACCCTCTGCTGGACACCCCCGCAGGTTCTACCACATCTACAAGAGGGGCGGCTGGCAGAGCAAAACTGCAGGCCGAGTTGGCTCAGCACTCAGGCGTTTTCTTCGAGGCAGTCCAAAGGGCTATGGCAAGACGGATGTCGCCTACTATGGCGTTCTCAGAGCTGACGGCCGACCAGTTGCTTGCTCAGGGTGTCAGTGGTGTTCGCTACCTGGAGCGGTTCGGAGGATATGGTCGACATCGAGATCTAGGTTTGCTGCAGTATCAGGTCATGACCATTTTCGACTTCCTCATGGTGGGAAATGTGGGAGCAGCAAAGGATATCCTGGCTTTGACAGCGGTCATGATCGAGCAGGCAGTGTTGGACAATGGTCGTTTCGACATTGCGGCCCTTTTGTCTCTGATGGAGGATCCACCAAGCACTATCTTCATGAACCGTCAGATTCTCAGCACTTCTCGGAGCAGAGCCTTTGCTCCCTTGGCAGACCAACGATGGATCACTGTTGCTCTGGCCTACCTGAAGGAAATGGACACCATTGCCAGTCGGCGCCAGGAGTACTCCTCGGGGAGCACTTTGTCGAGCCCTTTGGATCCTGGCGGAGATCAAGCAAAGGCAAAAGCGAAGGCAAAGCAGAAGGGAAAAGGAAAGGGTCGAGGCCGGCCTCAGGAGGTGGCAGAGGAGGAGGGCTAGCCCATATGACCAAGAACGGAACGTCCCCGGCGCTCCGACTCTTGGATGACAAAGTCAATTTTGCGCAGTGGGCAATGGCTTTGCCCCGTCTGGTGCTGGCATCTCGTACTGATCTTGCCTGGCATCTTCGCGCCTCTTTTTCTGTTCGCACGCGAGTCGGATGCTCGCTCTCCACAGTGTTTCCATTGCCGTTGCCCTATGTTGGCGTGTTTGACGGTGGTGGCCCTGGGCTTAGCAAAGTACGTCTACGAACCTTGGCACAGAAGCGGCTGTTGAACCTGGTTGTACTGGTGCTCAACAAGCTCTACCTTGGCCGCTTTGCCAGTGTTGCTGAACTCGGGAGGCCGCCTTCAGCGGCTCAGCTGAAGGTATTTGACCGACTTTATGGCTACATCACTGTGTGTGGATCTCGCTTGGAGGACTTTTCAGTTGCCCCTGGGCGATCCGGTCCCGAATTGATTGCATGCATTGCTCGCCTTGAGGCTTTCCTGGCTATTCATCCAGCGCTTCAAGGGGGTTATTTTGATCATGGCGCCATCGCCTACAAGCCGCCTACGTTGTCAGCCGAGGAGTATCCCCAGCTTGTCCCTTACAAGAATCTTGATGCAAAGAGGCTAAAGTTGACGGGGACTGGCGCATGGCCTTTGGCGGACTATCTCGATGGCGAGCTGTGGTTGCCCTATGTTGAACCTGCAATTTTGCTTCATGGAGGGCCAGATGATCGCACGAATTGGCCCTCCTTTGCCTATGAGGCCCCTGAGCAGTATTTTGACTTGGCGATGAAATGGGACTCTCTTGGCCTCCTTCGACTCTTTGACTCGCCTAGTCAGGAGGGGCACTATTGCAAGGTCTTCAATGCCTACAAGAATGTGGAGGTGGATCGCCAGATTGGAGATCGTCGCATCCCCAATAGCAGAGAGAGAGGAAGCCCAGGGCCTTCAGCTTTTCTCCCTTCTGCAGTTCAGTTGTGTGCGCTATATGTGCCAAGAGGAAGCCATTCGGCCAGATGCTCTATGACAGATCGGCGTGACTTCTACCATCAAGCATCGGTCTCCAGGAGTCGTGCTCGCTCAAACATTACCCCTTTCGCCTTTCCGGCGAGGAGGTTCATGGGCACTCGAGCTTTTGAAATGTGGAAAGCTGAACTCTCTGGCAGGAAAGCGCTCACTAGAGAGGACAAGGGCGACTTTCTTCGTGGTGATCCTTCTGAAGGAAAAGATTCAGCCCCTGATGACTCTTGCCTGCTATATCCGGCCTTTGGAGCTCTTTACCAAGGAGATCATCTTGGGGTTGAGTTTGCCCTGCGTGCCCATGAGGTGCTCCTTCATCGGAATGGACTACTTGTTGATGAGCGCAGACTGCAGAACAAGCATCCTTTGCCTTGTGGGAGCGTGTGGGAGGCTTTGATCATTGACGACTACTTCTGTATCTCGGTTCAGAGAACAGATGTCCCAAAGGAATGCACCGATGCTTTTGCGGCACTGCAGGTTGCACGGCATATCTACGAGAAACATGATTTGGCCGGCTCTCACGAAAAGGACATCGTAGCTGAGGACCTTTTCAAGGCGGCTGGAGCTGAGGTTGATTCAAGACGTGAGGCTGTAGATGAAGGGTGCATTCCAGCTGCAGCACCTTTGGGAAAGCGGCTAGGGCTGGCTTCTTTGTCTCTGAGGGTGGCATCCTTGAGGGCTATTTCCAGTTCTTTGGCATCGCGTTTGTCGGGATCATGGGTGTCCGTCCTGCTTTTCAGAAGGTGTTTCTCTAGCATCGTGCAGCAGTTCTATTCCTTCGGTGCTGCGTGCTCTGAGGATGAGAGTGACAAGGTGCTGCCCCTGAGCAGGGCTGTTTCCCAGGAGTTGGTCGAGCTCTCAATTATGGCGCCTTTGATTTCCTCAGATCTTACGTGCCCTTTTGATGATCTGGTATTTGCTACTGATGCTTCTATTAGCAAGGGAGCAGTCGTTAGCGCACCTATTGACAGAGGGATTGCAGGTGTTCTTTGGCGAGGTGGCGACAAGAGAGGAGGTTACACCCGGTTGGACAATCCTTTCCGTGCCGCTCTCAGGCATCTTGGCGAGGACTTGGATGATGAGGAGGACCTCGATGAGAGCGCCTTCACTATGCGACGTGCACCATTGCTGGTTTTTGACTTTGTTGAGATCTGTGGTGGTGCTGGAAGAGTGTCTGAGGAGATGGCTTCTCTGGGCTACTCTGTTGCCCCAGTGCTAGACTTGTCTGAGAGCGAGGCCTATGACTTAAAGGACCTTCGTTTGCTGGAGTGGATTCTACACATGATTGAGCAGAACCTGTTTAGATCCTTGATGGTCTCGCCCCCTTGCACTACTTTTTCGCCTGCAGCCTATCCAGCAGTTAGATCTTACAAGGTCCCAAAGGGTTGGAGGAGAAGGCATCCAAAGGTCCTCATCGGGAACATCCTTGCCTTCAGGTCTCTTGTCATCATGGGCCATGCCTATAATTGGGGAAGGCCCTCAGCGCTTGAGCAGCCGCGGCGGTCAAAGATGGCATGGCTAGATGAGTGGAGGGCCCTACTTCGCCGAGGCCTTGAGGAAGCCGTCGTTGCCTCCTGTGCTTTTGGTTCTATTCATCAGAAGGAGTTCCGTTTGTTACTGGCTCATTTGGATGCAGCGGCTCTCACAGTCCACTGCTCCCGGGACCATCCCCATGTCAAGATCGAGGGACAGTATACAAAGAAGTCTGCCATCTATGAGCCTGGTGTTGCAAGGCATTTTGCCGGTGCCTTTCATGCGGCCCTTTCCAAGCTCCCAGAAGATTGCCCTGAGGTCGGTGACGGTTTGGAAAGCATTGTTGCCAATGACCTTCTTTTGGCAGCGTCATGGACAGTTGAGAGGAGCTGGCATTGGAAGAAGGGGGGCCACATCAATGTCCTTGAGGTCGGCGCCGTGGTGTCATTGCTAAAGGACGCTGTCATTTCTCGGTCTGACAGACGCCTAAACATATTGCTGGACTCCAATGTGGCGAAGTGTGCCTTGGCTAAGGGCCGCAGCTCATCAAAGATGCTGACTCCGGTTCTCATGAAAGCTGCCGCTCTTCAGATTGCAGGAGGCTTGTATCCATCCTACAATTTTGCACCTACGAGGTTGAATACCGCAGATCATCCGACTCGGGATCGACGATTACCAGATCCGGTCCCTCATTCATTGGTTGAGTCGCTGTCCCTGCTCCAGATTGGCTCTCTACAGAATCGTGGTTTTTCAAGAGGGGCTTCTGGCTGGATCCGCTTGTCCTTGCTAGCCATCTATGTCCTACCTTCGTTTGGCCTCATGCCCCATGACTCTGCCGGGGGTGATGGGCTTTGCTGCGATGGATTTCATGGACTTTCCAGTGCCTGGATTTGGCCTGGGGCTTGGATTTCAAAAGGTGGACTTCCTGGACTTTGTGGATTTTACACTGGCTGGATTTGGCCGGTTTCAAGCCGTTGCTATCTCTCGCCTCATGGCTGCATCGCTCTCCTTCTCTTGCTCACCTTTCTTGTCGCCTCGTTCAGCCTTCCTCCTCTTGCTGGTGGACGCCCCGGTTTGGTCCCCAAAGGTGGTAAACTGAAGACCCGAGTAGGCCGGCCGCGGTTAGCCATTTCAGCCATGGTATGGACCTGCTTATTTGTTGGGGCAGGAGCACCTTTAGCTCCCCAGACTGGAAATGAACGGTCCCGAGCCTTGGCGAGAGCGGCCACGCAGCTGATCCCTGACCGCGCGGTCACGACAGAGACCAGGGACCGTCGGGCTATCTACCTCAAGGAGTTCGACGCCTGGTTGACTGAGGCCATGGACTTGTCGGTTGATGTTTTGCTGGCTGAGAAGCCGGCTGACCCTGAAAAGATCTCTGAATGTTTGGTGCAGTATGGCCGTGCTCTTTTCACAGCTGGAAAGAGTTACCAAAAGTATTCTGAGACGATCAATGCGGTTGGCACTGCCCGGCCGCTGATAAAGCGTCAACTGACTCGAGCCTGGGATTTAGCTTTTGCATGGTTGCAAGATGAACCACATTCCCACCATCCTGCCCTTCCTGCTAGCATTCTACTTTCTATGCTGAGCACTGCCCTAATTTGGGGATGGAAGAGGGAGGCCGCCCTTTGGGCCATGGGATGGAGTGGTATCATGAGGGTTGGTGAAATGTTGATGACCCGACGATCGGACCTCATCTTGCCATCAGATGCTGCACCGGGTTTCACACACATCCTGGTGAAGATCCACCAACCAAAAACTCGAGGCCGAGGGGCGAAGCATCAGGCGGCCCGGGTGGACCAGGAGGACTTGGTTAGGCTGATTGCTGGAGCCTTTAAGGACGAAGCAGCGGACGCCTTGCTGTGGCCTCTCTCAGCATCCACCCTCCGAAAGCGATTCGGTGCTGTCTTGAAAGAGTTAGGTTTGCCCACTCGCCGTGAAGGAGAACAACGACCCTATGAGCTTGCTAGCCTTCGAGCTGGCGGTGCCACTTGGTTGCTAGGCATGACCGAGAGCCCAGACCTTGTGAGGAGACGCGGAAGGTGGCAGGCTATGAGGACCTGCGAAATTTACTTGCAAGAAATTGCAGTAGCTACTAGCCTGCCTCTCCTTCCAAAGCAGGTGAATGAAAAGATTCAGGTCATGGCAGCCTCTTTCGATATCGTGCTAGATCGAGCCTGCTTTTTCATGTCCTGTGGAGTCCCATGCAACGCATGGTACATTTTGTTTTGTAAGCACTCCAGCCAGCGGCAGTAGATGGGGAAACTTGGAAGACGCCACAAAAGGTGGCTGATGATGCACCCCACTTGTGA